GTAGTTAAATATGCATTGCATGTTATTTTAAAATTTTTATAAATGTATTTGTATCATAAAATTTATAATTATTTGGATAAAAAAACAGCAAAAATTAATTTCATAAAAAAGGAACCGTGGGAAATGAACGTCTTGATTATGCGAAATAGACTTCCTTCTTCCTCTCCCACAAAGGGCCCCAAGAAGGCTTTGCCACTGACTAACAGGATTCATGACTTAAAATTAAGAAGTTCAATTTAAAATTCAAAAACTTTTTTTTGTAACAGTGTTAAGTTTGGGGGCCGTTCATATTTCTTACTCGATTAGAGAAGAGGTGTGTATTTAACTTTGGACGTGAAGAAACTATTTTAAACCAATCAGCAACCGTTCGTTTCGGAAATTATTACAGAATGGCCCTTCTAACTGCAAATAGAGAACAACAGTATCCTAAGAAGCAACTTCGTGTGAACAATAACCATTAATCACTGTGCATGGATTATTGCTATCCTGCTTTATTATAGTTAGTGCCATTAGAGGTTATTCTCTCCTGAAGTCGCTCAAACATATATCGACACACCCTTCATATATACAATTCGTCATAACTCATGCTGAATTCACCAGGAAAATAATCCAAAAGCAGATCTTGGTCAAACGGTGGAAAAAATATATCAACTGAACTGTTGTTTGGTTGTGTGTGCATTTCCATCTCAACCGTCTGATCATCAAGCCGTAAACCACGAATGGATTCATCTTGAAAGTTTGTATTAGGGTTGTCAAAATTATTGTTGAAGAAGCTAGAATTCTGCAAATCCTTGCCATGAAACTGATCTAATGAGAACCATTCAGCAAAAAGAATTTTGGGTAAATTAAAATTTTGGGCTTGATTCTTTTGTTTAGTAGATTGATCTGTATCCATTAATGATCCTTCCATGTGTTCGATTGAATTGAAACTCGAGTTTTGAGTAGTCGAATTCAGGGAAGAAGAAGAGTTTAAATTTTCCATTTCTCCACCTGTGGATACATCTTTTGCCTGAGTTTCAGTTTCATATAGTTTTGCTACCTTTTTCTTCAGATGAGAATGCCAGTAGTTCTTTATCTCGTTATCAGTTCTTCCAGGCAAATGGTGTGCTATTTGAGACCACCTGCAGAAAAAAGTAACAAATGTTATTCATTTGTTCAAAAGTCCAATGATTCATGACATATTTGGTACATGAAGAATTCGACAGCATAGGACACTGCAACTTATAAGTTTTATAACAAGTCTCTACTCTTTAATCATATTCAGTCCTGGTTCATGAGTTTATCTAGTCTGTGAGAGCATATCCTAACCTAGGGATTGCGAAGAACGTGTGAATTCACTTAAGACATGTTGAGTACGCTGGACTGTAAAAAATAGCATAGGATTAAATACTAAAATGAAGATAAATCTTGTCTGTTGTCGGTGTAATATATATCGTGTGCCAAATATGCTTTTAGTTTCTTACTTGTTGCCTAATGTTTGATGAAGGGTCAAGATTGTCTCCTCCTCTTCTGTGCTGAACGTTCCTCTCTTTAATCCTGGCCTTAAATAATTAATCCACCTTAATCTGCAGCTCTTTCCATTCCTTTTTAAGCCTGCAAGCAATAAAATGATAGGATGAACCAAAAAACGTCAACTGCAATGGTGCTTTTTAGCTTTTAATATAAGATTAAACGATCATTTAAGATATGAGTTTTTAACAAAAAATCCTATTGGTTTTGCAGCAGCCATCCCACCAGATCCCAAAAAATATTCCAAGTAGTGTGACAGAGATAACGAATTCATATGAGATGTATTGTTTCCATTCGTAGAAGACTTCTTCAGCTTTGATCTTATTAAGTTATTTGTCATGAACATGATTAAAAAGATGTTCTCCTCACAAAAGACACTTAGCATAAGTAAAGGTTATAATCATGGGATCATAATGATATCCGTATATGTATGAATATAAGCGTAAAACCCAGATGATGATAAGTATTTGACAGAATAGATATCAATAGCTTTTCCATAAAATGCAAATTTTGTAAGAATAACACAAAAGTACTGTAGGATCGGGATGAGAAATTTGATATTTTCTATCGTAAATTTTGTCAAACTCTATCATATGTCGTATATGGTTACAGATTCTTATGGCTAGACAGCATTGGCTATGTTTATCGTGAAATGTCAAATACAGATGCGCATGAAGTTGAATTCATCAAATTTGCAATGTGATTACACTTTTTTTTTTCTTGAACGTGCATTTTTCCAACATAGGGCAGACGATAAGATTAACTTACCAGTATTGATGGGAACCGAGCTCCAGCAGCCATAGCCGTGTTTCAGGATGTAGTTTCTCAGCTTCTGATCTTCGTCTGGTGACCACAATCCCTTCTTGTGCTTGTTCTTAGGCTTATCAAATAATTTGCACTCCATTTTTGAACAAATTGAGTATATGATGGTGCTTCTTGTGTAATGTGTAAGGAGAAACGAGACTCGATCTGAGGCTAAGCCAGCCCGGTCTCAAGAATTTAAAGAAAGGAAAGGTGTGAACATGTTTTAATTTAAGAAACAACAATTGTCATTAACAAATTATTTCTAGCATAAAGAATTGAAGGAACAAAAAGAAATAGTATAAAAACTGTACGTTTTTATCATTTTAATACTTCTAATATTTATTGACTTTTTGGAGTGGGACTAGGTGACCCCTTACCAGGAATTTTTATGAGTTACGATTGACTAAAGTAAGAGTTTATTTGTGTAGGATCTTTGTATTGTGTCATTAAACAGGCCTAAACCCACTTGACAGGCACCACTAACTATGCCTTCTGTTGCAAGGACTTGATGAACATTTGCTGTAACAGTTTCGATTCCCTAGAAAATAGTTCCATCTCTGTCGTGCTCCATAAGGTCGACTAGATAACACCAAATCGTATAAAGAAAGAAGAAATTAATAATATTGTTTATACTTACCCTTGATAATATTAAAAACCATCCAGATTTTTAATAGTCCACTATGCTAGATTTGTTTACTCGCCATCGCCTTTGCGACATCTGAAAAAAGAACTCATGAACTAACTAAAGTGGAAGAAATGAGGAAAAGTGTATTCAGTGCGCATTCGAAGTGTAGCGGCTGCGTGTTCTTCTGTCATTAAAATAAAAATAAAAATGAGGAAAAGTGGATGTCATTGGATAGTTTTCAAAGTAGAACTTCTAAAGCAGCAAACGGCAGTTGGAGCACAATTTTTCGAGAATGAGAATATACGACAAATACATTAAGGTGATAGTGACTGAGTTAAATTTAGGGAATAATGATTTAAGTAGATAGGAACATCATGACATATATAAACTTAAAACGGCGCTCATTCCTCAAGGCGATGTGATTTGAGTAAATTGAGTTCATCAAAACTAAAATAATCTATTGTGACTTTTAAGATTTAATTGCTTGAAACGTTTCACCACTAACAATAAACCAAATGACGTGGCCAAGAAAAAATTCATAAGCCATTTTTACTAAACTTTTACTCATAAAACCCACCTATGATCAACTAAAGGACTCGCAACCAATGAGGATTGAAACAATAATTTATCTTTTGGTTGCTTGTTAAGTTGGACAAAATCCAATCATTTACTAATCATTGTGGAAAATCAGCCAGCCTTTTTGAATGCTACAATATTAAAAGCAAGAAAAAAATTAGTTAACATTAAACTAACATTATTTGAAGTTTACTAACAAATCATTAGTTGGATAGATAGTAAAAAAGACTATCATGTACTCGTGGTGTTCACCAAGCCTTGAAGTTTTACTAAAATATAACATTCTTAAGTCAACCAATGTTCCGATTTATCTATGAAGAAATGAGAACAAAACTTTTTTTTATTCCCTATAAAGATCTTTCAAACATTCTATTGGTAATTCGCTTACTGAATTTCAATCGAATTTGCTATCATTAAGATATAAATTATTATAAATTACACATGCCATATATATGTTCTTTTAAAAAATGAAAATCATTGAAGATCATACCGTGTGAAAGAAAATAAAATACACACTATATCTACGTGATTTTGAAGACTTTAATGATTCTAATATCTTTTAGAAGATTCTATAATTCTTCTAACAACTACAAGAATTGCACGTATGGTGAATGTGAAAAAAGTAGACTCGAGGTTTAAATTTCTTGACAGCAGCACTGAGCTAATTTAACTTCGAAGCTACTAATGACTAGCTTTGGTGCTGATGTAGTTTATCCCCAAGAATAAATTTAGACACACTTCTTTCAGTTACATAATATAAATCATGATGTATGCACCGTGCATTATATACAAGTCATTCAAAAATTAAGTCAGTTTTCAATGACTTGCTGTCTCTATCCTTTCCCGTAAGCAGTAATGCTTAAACTTCTGACAGTTAGCCTTTCTGAGGTAAGAATTCAGAACTTCGTAACTTGTATGAATTATTTTTTATTGGAAAAAGCTCTTTGTACACGGGCGTCTAAACGCCTGTGTACTCAGGCCCACCTCGCCCTCTCACATGGGGCGAGGTCCCACATCGAGGCCCACGTCTGGGTCCCGCCCAGGATGTGAGGGGGCGAGTGGGACCGTGTACACGGGCGTGTAAACGCTCGTGTACAAGAAGCACGATCCTTTTTTATTTTTCACTTTTACCATATCTCTGACCTTCCAACCAACAGGAAATAATATATACACATGTAGGTCAAAAAAAAAAAAAAAGTCATTTCCAAGCACAATTATTAATTAATATATTATTTTACTAGACAACTAGTCTTCTAATTTACAAGCCAAAGAAATTAATACATTTATCTTTCATCCTTTAAATGGACAGGCTTCTTGCGACGAATAGAATATAAGGACATGGATCATGATGCAATTGGATACCTTTAATCTGTCAATCGTGTTGGAATTTCACACACAGACACGAGGCTCTCATCAAAACTCATGAGTTACAGCCATTGATCATAATTAGTTTTAGTCTAAATTCTATTATTTAGGCGGTCAAATGAGCACTTTTCTAATTTCCAGCTGAAATAAATTTTTGTTGTCGAGATAATTTGTTTTCCAAAAGTTTTATTTGTTTAGAATTTAAATATTATGTTAGGGTTTCTTTCCTTTTTTTCATCCTTCCAAAGTTAGAATTATGGTTAATTGCTATTTGGTTGTTTTGTCATGAATTAATGAAATTGCGGAGTTTCTCCCAAATTGTTAGATTCATCTCAGCATTTTACGTGATCCAACGAGATTGGATTTACAATTTTTATTTCTCATGCTTTTAAACATGCATCATTGAAAGTTTTCGGGTTTGGATCGAAATGGAATCCCCAAAAACCGGAGCTGGAGTATTAAACTAGTTTTCTTTCGATAGAGGACACCCATTGGGTGGAATTGAAAAATATAGATTGGCTAAGTAATGAAGTACGCAATTAGAGTTGTTACATTATACTTTTCAATATATTGGTGTCCACAATGACTTTACAGAACATATATTATACAAGAAGCAGTCCTCTCCATGATGTCACATCCGCAACAAAAGTCATGTCAAAATCTAACCACCTTAAAAAGGGTATGTCAAAGGATGGTGTTAGTGATAACTTCAAAGATCAAATTAAGTTGAACTTAACAACATGGAACGCAATTATAATCGTTATTATGACTTACACATTAGCCAGAAGGTAGGATCACACTTGATCATCAATGTCATGATTGATTTAGTTTCATCTAATCACTGGCTGCAATACTTGGACTGATTTTTTTTTAGCCCTAGTAGCATATAGTTAATTAAATAGTAAGTGAAGCAAATACTAACCTGCACTCTTACTCTCGGAGAATTTAATTCGTTCTTGTACTACTTCTTCTTAGAAAATATGCATGTTAAGTTAAATTTTAACAAAGGACCTCATTAAGAAATCCAAGAAATTACTTAATAATTTGAGTTTTTTTGGGAACGATGATTGTGTGACCTTAATTGCTTTATACAGAAACAATTGGCTCTTTAACTTAAAATTTGGTAGGCTAGGTGTTAATATGTCAAAAGACATTGTGAAAATGTTAGATAGTGAGGTTAAAATCTAAAGTCGAACTGAAGTGGAAAAGTACCACAACCCACAAGAATTCCATGTGACAAGAACGGTGACTAATTATATTGAAAATACTAAGTTAAATATAATATGAAAAACAATATGAAAAATGAGAATATACGTCAAAAAGGTATAAATAATTCAATACCAAATGAATTACAATTATGTAGTTTGAACCCGTTTGCAGGACCTCAAAGAGGCTTCAATTCGTAATGACAATGAAATAATACAGAGAAGAATAAAATCAATGTATAAGGTTTATGTTATTTCTCTTAATAAGGTTAATCTTATTAAGATAGAATCCCTCAAAATAAAGTACTGAAATCCATTAACTTCAAGCAATCAATTCAATCCAATTAATACTCAAACAAGCATGTGGATTTCAAGCTGGTCTGTTTTGCCACCATCTTGCAGGAACATGTTAAAGAGATAAATTTCATATCAAATGAAAATGAGGTAAATAATTAATGTATAAGATTTGTATTATTTCTCTTAACAAAATTAACCTTATCAAGATGGATCCCAAAATCTCAACGAAGATTCACATGCAATGGTATGGATTTCATGATATACCATGCACAAAAAATAAGAAATCAAGAAATGAAATCCAAAACTCTTACCAACTTCAATTATAATTGCAATGTGCCCTTTACAATTTAAATTCATTTTCTCATTAAAAACCAAAAATATACAAATTTCTATTGTGTGCTTGGCAACAAATTTCAACTCATGACTTCTATATACTTTAATATCTTATTCAACTATTTTATTTGAAAGCTTAAATTGATATAGATGATAATATTATATATTAAATTATGTTTTCGCCGTAACTTACTTGAAAAAATAATTTAAATAATTTCTCTTTGACTCGGTACGAACTTTGGTGAATAATAATTTTTAAACAAAAAAAAAAAAAAAAATTCTAGTGTTTGTTTATTTTTCAAGACCCAATTAACTTATAGTCCATCTCGACCCGTAAATCCATTTCAAGGTGGGTCAGATTGGAATGAGCTTACGTCAGCAATGATCGTTTCAAATATTGAGGGTACTTTTTTTTTTTTTTTTTTTCAATTTTTAATTTTGCAAAACACTGAAAATCGTGTTTTGTCTAATATTTCTGAAAATGAATTTTCATGAACAAGAAAAATTTATAACATAAAATTCAGAATGTACTTTTAGTGAAAATTTTGAAAATACTCAAAATATGGAAAACGGGCATTTAGATAAAATTTTAAACAAAATTATAAAATTCTAACATATAAAATTTGAAAAAAAATAAAATTCAAGAAATATAAATAAAAAAATTTTGATAAATTTTAAAAAATCAAAATTTGGAAAAAA